GCTCCTCAAGCATAATCTCATAAATCATTGTTTCATCAACAACTCAACCATACAATTATGTGGCATTAACTCGTCAATTCGCAATGTTGGCCACAGGCCTACAACATGATTCACCTATAACTAGTTAATCAACTAAGGCTTACTTCTAAATTACCAAACCTCTGCATGTTACTAATCTGTAATACTGCATCATTATCATCATTCATCCTATTGTTACAAACCAAACAACAATCTATATACATCTCATCCTCATCATTCTTCACAAAAATCAACTTAACGATCAACACGGGAACTAATTCAAATCCTACTTTGGATACTAGGATCATCCCTCCTATTCTTCTTTTTAATCTTTAAGAATGAAGTTCATCGCGTTAGCTATTCCATGCTTCGAACGACACCTCAAACGGAGTCCGAAAACTCAAGTTACAGCCTTTTCCAAACGATTCTGCCAAAAACCAGACAACATGGATCGACACATAACACCTTGGGTCAATGCGTACTGAACTGAACACGTCATATGGGTCGATGCATCCTATCTTATATCGACTCATATTGAGTCTGCCACACTGCATGTGTCGATACATCCTCTCTTGTATCGACTCATATTGAGTCTGCCACACTGCATGTATCGACACATGCTCTTACGTATCGACTCATCCTAAGTTTGAACTCCCTCATGTATTGATGCAGGACTTCTTCGTGTCGACTCATCCCGAGTCTAAATACCTTCTTGTATCGACACATCATGTTTGGGGTCAACACATACTACTCTGTCATGGATAATTTCTGTGATTTTCTGTGTTTTCACTACGGGTTCCATACTTTAGGCCCTAAAAACATCATCTAATCATAGAAAACCATCAACTATAATAATCCTATAATTCTACATCATTTACACGGCATTGGGACATCGTTAATCATCCATAATTCATCGATTCACATCATACAACATCATATATAATTCAATCATCAATCAAACAATCTTTCGCCTCTAACCCCACATACCAATTATCATGAATCCTATTATAGAGTCAGAACCCCACCCTTACCTTGGATTGAAGGTCGCTCTATAACTTTCTCCAATTGATTCACGTTCTTCCTCTTTCCCCTTTTCCAACAGCTTTTACGTTCTTCTTTCCAACCCTTATTCTTCTTACTGCTTCTTCTTTTCTATTGTTATTTCTATCAATAATAAAATAAACTATTATTCTCTTTACTCCTTAATGAGCTTAAAACTAATACACCTCCTTTTTACTACTTCTATCCTTTAAAACCAGCCCACATCAAATAATATCATCCTTCTCATAATAATATTTTCACCATTTAATAAAATAAGTAAATCCAACTAATCACCACACATCTTCATAAATATTCCAAACATAAATTAATTAAATAATTAATTAAATTACGGGCGTTACATTTCCAAAATACTTTCAAAACCCACACCACAAAGTACATTTTCAAACAAAGCAAGTGATCTAGCAAGCAACTAAGAGCCCATAGATAACTATGGATGAAAAGGGTTCTAATACCTTCCCTTTTAATAATCTACCCCCCGAACTCAAGAAATAATCTGAAAGGTATTTCCTATTCTTTTCCACCTTTCCTTTTGGATAAAAGAAAAGTCGGTGGCGACTCTTGCTAACTGCAACAATTGCGATCAAACGCAAAACATCCCAAGTCAGTTCTCCCACCGTATTACAGAACTGGCGACTCTGTTGGGGATATCTTAAAAGTGGGGTTACCTTAGGGCTAGATCACCTTTATTTTGCTTTCATTGTTTGACTTGCTTGCTTTATATTTTGGTTCCTTGTTTGGGCTTGTTTTGATCCTCTACCCAAATCTGGGATACCTTATAGATAAGTAGCAATACGTTGTGGAAACTGTGCGGGGTATACCGACGTGGTTTAAGCAATAGCTACGTTAGTGTGACACATTTGTGGGTACCGGTAGCCCTTGAGTAGTCAAGGAGAATATGGGGCCGCTGTGTGGTGTCATGAAGCACTAACTGACTTTAGAATCTTTACTTGACCAACTTGGCCATTAAGAAGTAGTGAGATAGCCGGCTTTGGTGCAGTCTGAAGTTGGTGGATACTCGATACTACGCTCATTGAGATCGGACTTCTCGGGATATTTTGGTCGCCATTAAAGAGGCTTGTGCTGAAACAATGCCCGACAAGAAAGATCAGTGATATTGAGATCCCTTAGAACCCGGTTACTATTACAAAGACAGGTTAAGCCAACTAAACTTCAAGAGGGTACTTACCTATAAGACTCCATGCAAGCCTAAACCTAAGAACTTGTTTTCCTTGTGTGTATATGCTTACTTGTACATAACATCATAAACATCATAACATCATAAGCATTTTCAATAACCATTTCAAGGATCTCAAGGATCTATGATGCAAGGTCATGTTGAACCAGACGCCTATCAAAGGGCAAAGGGATTCATTCTCTAATCAAACATCTTCAAAGACCAAAGAACTGTAACTTGAGTCAAGGGATATGACCCACTTGACATGGTGAGCTTGATTCTCATAGAAGGATATCCACCCATACGAAGTTCTCCAATAAAAGTTGTTGATCAAAGTTCAAATTCTAACATCTTTTTGTGTTTACCTCGCGAGATCCTTGAAACCATTGCATCCGCATATCATGCATGTCATCATAATAGGTTTTCCCGTATAGGTTTTCTCATCTGCTTACTGTTAATTTCAGTAGAGATGGCTCTAGAGTAAACAGTTAAAGATATCCAAGCTCAAAATGCTCAGCTCCGACAAGCACTCATGAACTTGGTCAAGGGGCAGGAAGATCTGAAAACACTCTTCACCAAAGAGAGCAAGAAGAAGAAGGTCTGAGGGGAATACCCAGCTCACTCAAAGTTAGTCTATTGTTTTCAAGATTGTGGATGAGTGTTTTTTGTCCCTCACTTTTGTGTGTTCTTCATCTACCGATGTATTTTTACTAGGTGTGATTCATGATTGAAATTGTTTTGTTTTAGAATGTTTGGTATGATTTTTGTACTTAGAATTTGTTTTGTTTACATGTTATTGTTATAGGATTAGGGTAAGTAGTTACCTTGTGTGTGTGTTTTTGTTTGAATCATACATTTGTTTTTTTTTTTAAAACTTGTTGATTCATGATTCTTTGGTTGATTACTTTTGGTTCTTTGAGTTGTTTGACCTTGCTTGAGGACAAACAAGTTCAAGTTGGGGAGAGTTTGATAAGTGCAAATTGTAGCTATTTTATATATAATTTTTGTTGCACTTATCGACTCTTTGTTGTTAATATTGGTTTAATAAACCTGACTTTTGTCTAAATACGTTTAGTTTGTGTTCATTTTTGTTTTTGTGTACACAGTGTACCGTTTGATACTTTTACATTCATTTTGTAGATATTTGTTGCATTTTGGAGCATCGAGGAATAAGGTGTCGAAGGCACGGCTCCGGATGCGCGTTTTCAGAATAAAAGACCAGTTTTACGAAGTTTTACCTAGGAGAGTCGGCTTAGCGCGTAAAGGCCGCTAAGCGCGAGTTCGCTAAACGAATTTTGTAGCACGTTGCTTGGGTTTTGACATTTTGGCAGAAGCTTAGTTTTGGAGTCCGCTTAGCACGGATAGCATCCTTAGTGCAGTTTAGGTTGGTTTAATGTGTAAATATTACGCAACCTACTTAGCGCGGTGAGCCCGCTAAGCGCGGCCTGCTGAGATTTGTTTTATAACTTCATTTTCTGTTCCTTTTTATTATGATATTTGGGGTGTTTTTGTTTCCAAATTCCATCGACCTCATTTTTGGGTAGATTAGCTTAGATAACAACTATGGAGCTTGCATACGGATGATCTGGGGTGGGTTGCTCTTCGACTGGCACTGACAAACCGGTAAAGTTGCGGTTCATTTATGTTTTTCTTTGTGTATTCTCTATTGGTTGAGTTTGTATATGTATTTTCTTTGAACTCATGTATATTTGTCACCCTTGGCGTTGTGTAAAGCTTGCTTTACAAATCTTTTTTGATTGTTGTCCTGGATTTTTGCTCTGTGCTTAGGGGTTTGAGTTGTTATAGACATATACTGCTCAAATTCTTGTCTGGGATAATTATCTAATAGTGTGTGAATTCTAGAGATAGATTTAGCGTTGTTATTCACATAGGTGTCTGTGATTAATGTCTCTGTGTTGGTTGTATTGATTGAGAGATCGTTAACACGAGTAACACAGTTGACCTTTGTGTTGTTAAGGTTGGTTGAGAGATCACCACTGAGATGATATAGTGGGTGTTATATTTGATACGTTATGACATCGATGAGTCTCGTAGGTTGAGTATGACAGGTCAATAGGTTTAAGTTTGTGAATAGTGGGTTATTATGCATGCTTGATAAGTCTTTTCTCTTGAGAATGAATTCTTTTCCTGTTGATAACTTTTAATTCCTGCATTTACTTTCAACCCATTTAAATCTCAAACTCATTAACAAGAGATTTGTTGAACGACAATTCAATACACCAATCTTTGTGGACACGATACGATATAACCTAAATATCACCCGGTAAAATAATACTTTACTTTTTTCTTGCCGCTTTATCTCTTCCAGCATATGGTCCCTAGTAACGTTAAAGCTTACTCCATTTCCCAACAATGAGAGGTTTAATAATGAAACAACACCGTAGGTGAATAAACGATGAAACAAAATTGTGAGCGAATAAACGCTAAAACTAAATTGTAGGCGGTTAAAATGGTGAGTGAAGAAATCAATTTAAAACACTAAACATGTAAAGTGAATAAATTATCAAGAAAAAGAAGAAAAATTGGTTTTCACCACCAGTATCTGGTCTATTGGACCGCCTAATATGGTTTGAGTGTCAGTTCTGACATCAAGTGGTTTCAGCCCCCTCCCGATCGTAGTTGCAGGGGATCGAAACATGGTCCTCCCTACCAAATCCAGCGCCAATCACCATTAAACCAATTAATGATTGGTAAGAAAAAGAAATTTTCATTCACGACAACATCATTACAAAGTTTCAACGACATTAAAGGCACAAAAACTTGATAAAAAAGCATCCCTCGTTCTTCTTACTATTATCGATAATCTCTCCTTCAACAACACCTTCTCTAGATCCATCTTTGTCCAGAGAACCCGAATGCCCGGGAAGATCAACACCTCCAACTGATCAGTGGCATTCTTGAAAGCTACATAAACAACATTGACACCTTCATCGTCTACGACATCATAGAGCACTCCTTCCATTATAATGTTAGTGTTGTGGATTGCATAAATGTCCAAGCACAAATGAACTTGAACAATGAAACACAATACAATCAATACTATCAATTAGCTGACTATCTTTTTGTTATGAACATGTTTTTGGTGTTGAGAGAACCAAAGAGAAAGTTATTGAAATGAAGGCGCAAATGTGTTTTAAGAATGAAAGTCAGAGGTTCAACCAACACCTCTTCCATGATGAACTTGCTTTGTAATACATGTTAAATTAATTCATCATGTGTATAACCACCAAGAAAGGAAGGCCAAACAATTCTTAGTTTAATGATTTTGCAATGCATACTTTCAAGAATGGCACAATAGTATGAAATACCACTCATAGTGAAATAAACTAAATGTAAAGAAGAACTATGAAGAAGGGCAAAAATTGTGTCCATGTCTTGGAAAAGAAACGTGTCCAAATAAAAGGAGAGAATGATTGGAAGAGGTATTTTAACAAACAAGTGGTAGGAATCATATGAGAATTCAATATTAGAATGCAAAGACCAACCAAAAGTAGGAAATTTTGTGTGTGAAGCATACCTGGGTTCAGTGTTATCAAACCCCATACTCCATTTCTGTGTGAAAACATTAGATCCACCGGGATAAAAAATAAGACCTAAAAGTCATAGTGGTGGTGTCGAGACGCTTTTCACAATCGTCTTTTTTGGTAACGACACAGTGGGAGTGATTTGTGCCAAGGATTTGGAAGAATAGGATATGCTTTCATAGACCATAACTTTAAAGAAATTGGAATTATGATCAATGATTTTAGCAGTGGCGGAGGTACGACAGAAAAAGGAAGTTGGATTTGTTGTTGCATCACAGTTGGTGTCGGGTAAGGAACTCTTTGGTCAGCAACAACAATTTCTAGATCAGAGATGATATCTTCAAGAAAATAATCTTCTTTCACGGGTTTCGTTGGTTCCAGATCTAGCTTTGTGAAAATAGAGTTCGAAAATTCTGAATATGACTCCCCTGCTTCATCTGTCTCTGGCACAACCTCTCTAAATTCAGGTTTGAAACACCATAAAATAGCACTAGTAAAGGCTTCCCAGCTTGCTGACGGGTGCTTTTGAGACCATTGCAACCACCATTGAAGAGTGTGACCTCTCAATATTGGAACAACCCTTGCTAGTTTCTCTGAGTCTGATATTCTATTTGCAACAAAATATTTTTTTTTACAAAGAATCTATCAATAACAATCATCATCTCCATTATATATTTGTTAAATTGTAATTCAGTGTGTCGAAACTATGTGTCGAAAAGATTTGATTTGTTTTAGATTTAAATAGATTTGATTTAAGTCTAGAATAAATTAGATTTGATTTAGTAATAAAAAGATATTTTGGGTTTTGGGCTTAGGGTGTAAGCTCAGTTATAAATAGAGGGAGTAACCCCTATTTTTGAAAGAAAGTCAAGCAAGTTGTATTCACAGAATTTGCAGTTGCAAGTGAATAACAAAGTTTTCACAGTTTGTGAGCAGAGAGAAACACTGCAGAAATTATTTGTCTTGTCTTCTTTTCTTTGTTTGTCTCATAATCAAATTGTCATTATGGTAGAAATTCATCATAGACTTTGGTGGATTTCCAACATCTGGTATCAAGAGCTTTTGTTTCGATTTAAGGGAAGTATCAATCAAGAACGATTGAAGAATTCACGATGATAAGTTATGGGAATACAAACTATCCAGCAACGCTATCAATTCTGAAAGTTGACAACTATGAGAATTGGTGCAAATAGATGAAAGTCTTATTCAGGTGTCAAGGTCTTTGGGACCTTGTAAAAGATGGATTCGAAGCGCTTGGAGAAAATGCTTTAGAAGGAGAAAAGAAGAAATACACAGAATCTGAGAAGCTGAGTTATAAAGCATTATTTATAATTCATCAATGTGTCAGCCCAGACAATTTTGAAAAGGTTAGTGATTCAGAATCTGCAAAAGAAGCTTCGGAAATCCTTGAGAAGTCTTTTGGAGGAGCTGAAAAGGTGAAAGAAGTGAGGTTACAAATTCACAAAAGGACGTATGAAATGCTTCAGATAGAAGACAGTGAAAGCATATCTGATTTCTTCACTAGAGTTACAAAACTAGTAAATCAAATCAAGATATGTGGAGAAACGTTAACAACAAGAGCTGTTGTTTCAAAGATCTTGAGATCTTTAGCTCCTAAGTTCGACCATATAGTGGTGGCGATAGAAGAGGGGAAAGAGTTGTCGAAATTGATAAGGGAAGAGCTTCAAGGGACGCTTGAATCTCATGAACAAAGAATGAATGAAAGAGCTGCAGGAAAATCGAAGAGTGATGTGGCCTTGCAGGCATATACAGCAAAAGAAACCAAAGGCAAAGGAAAGTGTTTCGACAGAGGTAGAGGTGGCTATAACAAATAGAATGGTAGAGGAAACCAGATAGAAGGAAACATGTCGAATCAAAGAAGGCCATACCAAGGCAACCAAAGAGGTGGTGTTGCAAATAGAGGAAGATGTGGTGGTAGAAAACCTGATAAGATTCACATTCAATGTTACAATTGTCAGAAGTATGGTCACTATTCGAGTGATTGTCCAGAAAAACGAAAGAATCGAGAAAGTGATGCAAAGCTTGCAAAAAATGAAGAAGAAGAAAAAGAAGAAGAAGAAGAAGAAGAAGAAGAAGAGATGATGTTGATGGTCACAACAAAAGATGAAGATAGATTCAAGGACCAATGGTACTTGGATTCAGGATGTTCATCACATATGTCTTGAAGGAAAGACTGGTTTGTCAATATAAAGCCCTCAATGAAAAATATGGTAAAATTTGCAAATGACAATACCCTAGCAGCTGAAGGTATTGGAGATGTTATGATTATGAGGAAAGATGGAAATAGGTCAGTAATTTCTAATGTGTTGTACATACCAGGCATGAAGAGCAATTTGCTCAATATAGGGCAGTTGGTCGAAAAGAATTATAAAGTGTCAATCGAAGATAAGATGATGAGAGTCGTTGACGCAAATAGGAGATTAATCTTGAAGGCTCCTATGTCTCAGAATCGAACCTTCAAGATTGAACTTAATGTGATGGAGCACGAGTGTCTTTCGACTGCAGCTAGCAGAGATGAATGGATATGGCATTATAGACTAGTCCATCTCAACTTCAGAGACATCAGAGATTTGAAGAGAAGAAACATGGTTTCAGGATTTCCAGAAATCGACATTCCAAACGAGGTATGTGAGGAATGTGTGCAGGTGAAGCAACACAAGAATAGCTTCAGCAAGGATGCATGAAGCAGGTCGAAGGCTAGTCTTGAAGTCATATACTCTGATGTATGTGGACCAATCCAGGTGGATTCAATGGGAGGTAACAAATACTTTGTTACATTCATAGATGATTTCAGTCGAAAGCTGTGGACTTATCTGATCAAGAAGAAAAGTGAAGTGATCGAGGTATTTGCCAAGTTTAAGTCTATGGTCGAAAGACAAAGTGGTCGAAAACTCAAAGTTTTGAGAACTGATGGTGGTGGAGAATATGTGTCGAAATATTTTGAAAGGCTATGTGAAAAGGAAGGGATTGTGCATGATATGGTGCCACCCTATACTCCACAACAAAATGGAATTGCAGAAAGAAAGAATCGAACCATCATGAATATGGTGAGAAGTATGTTGAAAGGCAAGAATTTACCTAAAGAGTTTTGGGGTGAAGCTGTTTCGACTGCAACATACATTTTGAATAGATGTCCTACAAAGAAGCTAGAAGGAATTACTCCAGAAGAATGTTGGTCTGGTGTGAAGCCTAGCTTGAGTTATCTTAAGGTATTTAGATCTATTGCACATAGACATGTGCCAGATCAGTTGAGAAGAAAACTTGATGACAAGTCAAGTCAAATGATTCTAGTTGGATATCATTCGTCAGGAGGCTACAAGTTGTTCGATCCAGAGAACAAGAAGATTGTGATCAACAGGGACGTGATCATAGATGAGTTTAAAGAATGGGATTGGACTGAAAATGTCAAGAAAGATTCAGTGGGAATCTTATTCGAAGAGACAGAAACTCAAGTCGAAAGAGAAGTTCGACAAAAGGAACCAACAGATATACCAAGTACAAGCAGGCCTCAAAGAACAAGACGCATGCCTGTAAGATTTCAAGATTGTGTGATTACATCAGATGATGTAATAGATAATGAAGGTGAGCTGGTACATTATGCTTTATATGCAGATGTTGAACCTGTTAATGCAGCTGAAGCATTAAAGGATTCGAAGTGGGTGAAAGCAATGAACGAAGAAGTGAAGTCTATGGAAGACAACAACACTTGGTCACTTGTCGAATTGCCTCAAGGCAAAAAGGTAATTGATGTCAAGTGGGTATACAAAGTGAAAACGAATTCGAAAGGTGAAGTAACTCGACACAAAGCAAGACTTATGGCGAAAGGATTTCTATAGAAAGAAGGAATAGACTTCGATGAAGTTTTTGCACCTGTTGCTAGGATCAAAACAATTAGGTTGGCTGTTGGTCTAGCAGAAATAAACAGTTGGCACATATGTCAGATGGACGTGAAGTGTGCATTCCAAAATGGACCCTTAGAAGAAAAAATTTATGTTAAACAACCAGTTGGGTTTGTGAAACATGACGAAGAAAGAAAGGTGTACAGGCTGCATAAAGTCCTGTATGGATTGAAACAATCTCCAAGAGCTTAGAATAAGAAAATTGATAGTTTCCTAAGGGAGAAGGAATTTGTAAAGTGCACAACTGAACATGGAGTATATGTAAGAAGAAGCAATATTGAATTGCTTATACTATGTCTCTATGTAGATGATTTGTTGATAATAGGTAGCTGTAAAAGTGAGATCGAAGACTTCAAAGGTGATCTCAGTAAGGAATTCGAAATGTCTGATTTTGGTGAGATTTCATATTTCCTTGGAATCGAATTCTGCAAGAGCAGTAAAGGTTTGATGATGCATCAAAGAAGATATGCAGGAGAAATTCTCATGAGGTTTGAGATGGAAGAATGCAACTCAACTTCGACACCTGCAGAACCAAGACTGCAACTGTCAAAAGATGCAGATAAAGATGATGTTGATCCAACCAAATACATAAGACTTATTGGATCATTGAGATACCTTTGTCATACAAGGTCTGACTTAGCATACAATGTAGGTATGGTAAGCAGATTCATGCAAAAGCCAAAGGTATCACATCTAGCAGCAGTGAAGAGGATACTAAGGTATCTCAAAGGAACTTTTGATTATGGCATTTTGTTTCTTGCAGCTGATAAAGAAAAAGAATGCAAGTTAGTGGGATACATCGATTCGAGTTGGTGTAGTGATGCTGAAGATCGAAAGTCAACAGCAGGATATGTGTTTATGCTAGGTGGTGCACCAGTTGCTTGGAATTCAAGAATGGAACCATTAGTGGCATTATCATCATGCGAAGCAGAATACATAGTTGCTTCTCTTTGTGCATGTCAAGCAACTTGGATGGTGAACTTGGTCGAAGAGATAACAGGAAAAAATCATGGAGCAATTACCATGAAGATAGACAGCATGTCAGCTATTAATATGTCAAAGAACCCAATAGCACATGGTCGAAGTAAGCACATCGAAATGAGAAGATGAATTTGGAACACTGCAGAACTGAGAATCAGATTGCAGACATCATGACGAAGGGAGTGCAAGTCGAAGTATTCAGAAGACTAAGAGTCATGATGAATATAGATAGTTTAGACATAATGAATTAGGTGGTGTGTTAAATTGTAATTCAGTGTGTCGAAACTATGTGTCGAAAAGATTTGATTTGTTTTAGATTTAAATAGATTTGATTTAAGTCTAGAATAAATTAGATTTGATTTAGTAACAAAAATATATTTTGGGCTTTGGGATTAAGGTGTAAGCTCAGTTATAAATAGAGGGAATAACCCCTATTTTTTAAAGAAAATCAAGCAAGTTGTATTCACAGAATTTACAGTTGCAAGTGAATAACAAAGTTTTCACAGTTTGTGAGCAGAGAGAAACTCTGCAGAAATTATTTGTCTTGTCTTCTTTTCTTTGTTTGTCTCATAATCAAATTGTCATTGTGATAGAAATTCATCATAGACTTTGATGAATTTCCAACAATATTAAAATATCAAAATAGTTTTTCTGAATTGTTGAATGTGGTTGAAAAAGTGGGTTGCTGTTAGTGAGAATGGGATCTTGATATGTTTGTGGATTCAACAAAGTATGGATGTTGATAAATATAGGATATAGGATCATGATTGTAGTAATAAAAGTAATCGTACGGAGGAGACTTCCTCTCGATGAGAGCACTATTTATTATGAACACACTTTTGATGTTGAAAGAAACAAAGAGAAATTACATTAAAAAAACTAAACTATTCTAAAATAACTTTTTCATTCTACATTCACCAATCATCTCCTTATAATATTGAGGCATTCTAACAAATTAACTAATTATTCACAATAATGAATCTATTTAGTTCTTTCTAAAAAGTTAATGACTCACCACCTAAATATTTAGTGTAATGGACTCGTAGAACTTGGACCTAATAATATCATATTTAGATCATTACACTTTCACAAAAAGAAGGTTCCACAATATGCCAAAGTTTTAGATCATACACAAGCTAAAATATATATTAAAAAAAAAAGTAAACGTTTAATCGTGTAATGTAATCAAAGATCTTAACCACTCTATGTTGAGTAAAAAAAGGGATCTTCCATGTGTTAAGCATGTAATGAATTTTTCCCTCGGACCATAAAAGAAGGCATCGTTTGACAGCTATTCTGATTCATATTCAAACTGTAAATGCACTAACCATCGACCTTCATAAATCAACATTCATCCATGCACAAATGTTAGCAACAAAATTCCCAACCAGTTTTACTCACTAGTTTTCTTTCCTTTAAGCCATGGCTTCTAATTTTATCATAAGGTGTTTGGTTACAGTCTCCATTGTCATGTCTCTAGGCCTGACAGGCACTCTCGGTAAGTCTCCATAGTTTTTTGATTACTGGATTATATAGTATAGACACTTCTAATCGAATTGTGTCGTGTAATCAATACAGGAGGAATAGAATGTGAGAATTTAAGCAAGGAAACATGTTCATTTGCTGTTTCATCTAGCAGCAAAAGGTGTGTCCTCGAGAAACATGTGAAAAGAACAGGAGAAGAAGCATACACATGCAAAACATCAAACATAGAAGCTGATAAACTAAAAGATCACATTGAGAGCGACCAATGCATAAAAGCTTGTAATTTAGACAGATTATCACTTGGAATTTCATCAGACGCACTTCTCGAATCTCATTTCCTAGAGAAGTTATGTTCTCCACAGTGTTACAAGAATTGTCCAAATGTTGTTGATCTTTACTTCAACCTAGCTGCTAGTGTAGGGGTGTTTCTTCCTAAGTTTTGCGGTCTCGATGATGTTTGAGTGTTTACAGAATAACTATAAGAGAGAGAATAAAAATTCTAGCTCAATACAAGTGTTAATATTTTAATAGTAAGTGTATAGAATGAATTTCACTTGTGACTTTGAAATATTTCTTGATTTCTCTTTTTCAGACTTTGTGAATGGTTGTTGTTTGATCAAATGTTTTGTAATGGATAGTTTGAATATATAGAGACTTGAGTGTTTCGTTGTAAGGTATAGTACTAAAGATTAGAGGCCTTATGGAGAATGTATTAGGTGATAGAAAATTTAAACACAACTTGTACTGTGTTATTTGTTGCTTGAGTTTCGCTGCAATTAGGGAAATACGCATCACGCATTTAAGGTATTAGTTGTCGTTCGATCAAAATCAGATAGTTTTGATTTATGTTTGATATTTAAATTATAATAAAAAATTAAAATATGTATTATATTGAACCATCTGATCTTAATCAAACGGTTATTAAAAGTCCACATAAATGTGTGAATTTATAGAAAATGCAGTGTATTCATTTTCGTTATTTGTCTCTATTTCAACATATTTTAGGAAGGAAAACATTAGATGATAAAAAATTGGTTATCATATGATGTCAATCGTGTCATGTATGAGCGGATAAGGATGAGTTGGTTGTTTTTAGTGTTCACCATTATTCCAAGCAATTATGTGTTAGATCCATTTAGTGAAAATTATGGTCTTCGAAGATAAGGAATAGATCCGGACATTATATATTGGAGGGACTATACATAAATGAAACAACAAATTAAATTATATTAAAAATAAAAAGTAATATTATTTAATATAATATATATAATGAAAATCATCTAACATTTATTTTTTTATAATGAGGTAAAATAACATCATTGTTAATTGTTTCAAGAACATCTCTTTCTATAAAAGTTATAAGATAATCATTTAACCACTGATCACTCATTTTATTATATAAGTGACTCTTCACAAATTTCATAGCTGAAAAAACATGTTGTACACTTGAAGTTGCTACTGGCAAGACTAAAGCCAACTTCAGAAGTTTATAGACCATATCAAACGTGTTGCACTTATTTGTTTCCACAAGTTTTGCACAAAGATCTGAAAGTCCTTTTAACTTTGCAAATTTTGGGTCACATCGAACATTTCTAACAAAATTTTATAGTTGATATCGAACCACCTCCGACACATTTACAAAATCATTTGGATTTAAAGTTCAATCATCCTTAGTAATTTTTTCACATCAAAAGCTGCAAATGATGATGAAGGAATCAAACATAAAACACATTGTAAAAATTCAGTATCGTCTTCATTAAACCTTGCATTGAGCTCATGCAACTGCAAATCTAAAATATTAAACAAATAATTGTGCTTATAATGATGCAAATTAGAAACACTATAAGTTGTAGCGTGTCACTTAGGTTTCTTCCCTTGCACATACGGTGCATCCATATAAGGTACATCAAACTCATGCTTATTGCAAATTTTCATAACTTTAGATATAAGTTCTTCCCATCCATCATTCATCATTTCTTGTAATTCTTGTTTGATAGCATTAACAAGTGACAAAGCATTCAAATATTTTGATCAAGCTTTTGTACCGCTATCCTCAAATCATTTGTAAATCCTAAAATCTCAACCATCATATATAACATGAAGATAAAATCAAAAGATTGAAGCACATATAACAAAAATATAGTTTCAGCATATTTTTCAAATGATGTATCATTCCTAACTTCTTCAAGTACCGCATTAATGACACCATACAAAGTCATCAAACTAGTGAGAGTCCTAAAGTGGGAACCCCAACGAGTGTCACCCGCTCTAGCAATAGATGGTTCTTGATTTAATCTACTACCAGTCTCTATCTGGCCCTCTTCAATCAATTTAACAAAAAGAGTTACTTGTTTGTCCTGAAGCAATTCCCATCTCTTGTTAGAAGATCGTATGAAATTAACAAGCATATTGACCTTATCGAAAAAAACCACTAACAACTTTGTGAGTCTTGGCACATGCAAAAAGTGTCAATTGAAGCTGATGGGCGAAACAATGCACATAATAAGCAGATGGATTCTCATTTTAGATTAAATTTATCAAACCACCAAACTTACCTCTCATATTACTATCCCGGTCATGCCCTTTCCCCCTAATGCTAGATAAACTCAAGCTATTGATAGATAACAACTTCTCAAGTGCCTCCTTAAGTGACTTAGCACTTGTTTCTTTAACACTTACAATACCAAGAAACCTTTCTTTTACCAAACCTTCACTATTAACATAGCGAATAATAACAACCATTTGTTCTTTACCAGCAACATCACCAGATTTGTCAATCAAAACACAAAACACATCATCTGCAATATCACATATAATTTGTTGGGTTATTTCACAAGCACACGCAGCGACAATATCCTTTTGAATTTTAGGGGCAGTCATAAGGTTATTTCCGAAAGCAAAATCTACTACACTAGCTATCTCTGGGTTAATTCCCTTTAAAGTTCCACCAACTCAAGAAATGGCCCCTTAAATAAAGAGTTAAGGGACTCGTCACACCCTCTAAATTGCATGCCACACTTCAAAAGAAACTTAGTAGCTATAAGGGATATGTTTACACAAACACAATATTCGATATTCATTTTCTTAGTTTGATTAATAAACGCAACCTTAATACTTTGGTCTGGGTTCATGAGAGAATAACCCATATGCACACAATCAACATGACTACTAGAAGAAGTAGCATGATTGGCCAACTTTTGAGCATTCTTCCAGTCACCATAATTGTCTCCCACAAAGTGATCCCCCATGTTTAGAGAAATTTTTAAATAAAAAACATGGAAAACAAAATACTAGGTCCTTGGATTCAATATAATCAATCCAATCATACAAATAAAACCAATTTTTGCAAAATCTGAAATTCTAGTGTTCAGATCAAAGATGCCCTAAAAGGTGTCGAGACACCTTTTACTGAACTTGCATACAATGAAAAATATGAACAATAAATACAGTGCAGAAAAGTAAAGAACATAAG